TCTCTCCCCCCTCTTTCTATGATTGAAGATTAACGTTTGTATCTAACCATCACATGTGACGTGACATGAATGCACCTCATGTCACATTAACGTGAGCGAGTCATGTACGACGGTCAAATACAATAATTTCTCGACTTTTGTTTAAATTTTTGTATTTTGAACTTTGTTTTTAACGCAGGTCGACCTTGCCGGAGGATACTATGATGCCGGAGACAACGTCAAGTACGGTCTTCCGATGGCATTCACCGTCACAACTCTGTCGTGGGCTGCCATGTTTTACAGGCAACAGCTCGAAGCTACTGGAGAACTGGAAAATGTTCTTGCCGGCATCAAATGGGGCACTGATTATTTTCTGAAAGCCACTCGAAAAAACAGATTATACGTTCAGGTATAGGAATTAATTAAGTTGGTATTCATTACTTTTAAAACTACAAAGTAATTAGTGGTGATGCATGTATAATTAAATTGCTAATTATTTATCAAATTCTTAAAGGTTGGAGACCCAAATCAAGACCATCAATGTTGGACTAGACCAGAAGATATGCAGACACCAAGAACAGTGTTGAAGATTGATGATAGCACACCCGGAACTGAAATTGCAGCTGAAACTTCAGCCGCCATGGCTGCCTCTTCAATTGTGTTCAGAAAAACAGATGGTGTCTATGCTCGTAGTCTACTCAACAAGGCCAAACGTGTACGTATTATTTTTTAGGCGTAACATATATATGCACAAAAAGAACGGGTTTACATATGTCAATTTATTTGTCTTTGTAGCTCTTTCAAATGGCTAAGGCGCATAAGGGAACTTACGATGGAGAGTGCCCTTTCTACTGCTCTTACTCTGGCTATAATGTAATTTTCTTCAACTCTCTCCCCCTGAAATCCAATTTTAGTTTAACTTGTTCACTGTTTTTTCTCGTACTAATACAAAATTGAATTGTTGGAAAATGTAGGATGAGCTGTTGTGGGCAGCAACATGGTTGTACATTGCCACAAAGAGGCCCTTGTATCTCAAGTACATTCAGGAAGAAGCCATCAGCGCCACCGTGTCTGAGTTCAGCTGGGACCTTAAATACGCCGGAGCACAAGTCCTCCTGGCCAAGGTACTTATTTATAAATAAATTATACCATCTTAACGGATAATTCACTGTACCGCATGGAAAGTTCTTGTGTCCGGATGAATTGTCTGACCCATTCCTTTTTGAATGCATGAGTTAGATAGTCTACTTGATTCGTTTGTCGGACTGTCCACCTTTCCTTTGTAAATATATAAGTTAGAGAGTCAACCTGATCCGAGACTAGGTCTTACTGTCTAAACAAGATTTCTTCGCAACACATTACACATTGCATTATCATGATCGTAAAAGTAACAATACTAGCTAATACAACTAATTTGAAAATTTTATTTTGTGTATTATTGCAGCTGTTCTTTGAAGGTGAAAAATCCCTAGAGAACTACAAAAACGGTGCTGACAGTTACATTTGCTCAAACATCCCCGACAGTCCTTACAACCAAGTCACAATGACACCGGGCGGCATGATCCACTTGAGAGACGGAGCCAACACCCAATACGTCACCGGAACCGCCCACTTATTCGCCGTCTACAGCGATATCCTCGCCCAGCACAACCAAAAAGTCAACTGCGGAGGCAAAGAGTTGGACTCAGGCGCCCTCCTCGCTTTTGCCAAGAAGCAAATGGACTACTTGTTGGGTGAGAACCCAAAAGGAAGATCCTACATGGTCGGGTTCGGACCCAACGCGCCCCAACAGCCCCACCACAGAGGAGCTTCGGTACCGAAGGGGGAAAACGGCATCGTTAACTGCGCCATGAGCTTCGTGAACTGGTTCAAGAAGGACGTGCCAAACCCTAATGAGTTGACTGGTGCCATCGTCGGGGGGCCCGATAGGTTTGATAATTTCGAGGACAAACGTTGGGCGTCGTCGTATACCGAGCCATGCACTTACGTGAACTCGCTCGCGGTCGGACCGCTGGCGAAGCTTGCTGTCTAAGAAAAGAACCATGCACGGCCTATGATACGTGTTGCCCAAAACCCTAATCCCAATCTAGTGCTACATATTTTTACGAAAGGAAGAGGTTTTGGGATTTAAATGTAAACTTTTGGAAACCCAAAACGTACCGTTTGTTGAGAGAAAGCTGTAAAAAGAGGGGTGGAAAAATGGTTATATAAAATAGTTATTAAACTGTTTTTCTTTTGTTCTCTTCGGAAACTCTCAACTAATGGTTGATATATTTTCCTTTATTTTATTTATAAGTGACAAAGGAAATTTAAACTATCCAAACTATATGGTAATTATAGGATAGAACTTAAAAGAGAAAAGAGATAAACACATTAACTTAATCAACTGACCTAATAAGTTATTAATTTAATGTTTCTTCCATAAAGGATAATCAAAATAGTGTTGAACAAGTTAGTGTAACAATCGAGTCTCCATAACAACAACCTCATCTCACAGTTGTGAAGCAATATGACATGCTCAATTGGGTTAAAATTGGACTTGTTTTTGTCTCTCTTTCTTCTCTTTGGTATATAAGTTTTTAATTCTACATAAAGATATATTGTTATTGTGTAACTGTTAGAGAGACAAACTAAATGTCAACTTTCAACAACACAGATATTATCTCAAATTTAGTAATTATCACCTGCGTTATCCATCATGTGTGATGTTTTATCAAAAGATTTCAGTATTAGTTGAAATGAAGCTAAAATATTTAAACTCTTATCTCAAAAATATCGATATAAAATATTTCAATAAATTAATTAACTAATCTCCTTGTTTGACATGGACCTCAACAAAAAGTAACTATATATACAAACTCCATCATTGTCCGCAAGCATCGCCAAGATGCCACAACAAGGAACATCATCATTTCAACCGATGCCTTTCTCGACAAGAAAAAGTAAAGTTTAAATCCGTTTTAATTTGTAATCATTGGATTATCTCCCTAACACGTTCTGACCAACCATCTAATTAGCTTAATTAGGTAGAAAGATGCTTGGAAGATAAATCACAAAATCAGACATCCAAATCTAAATCCGTACGAGTACGAATTACTTCATCGAAAATTAAAGATAAAAGAAATATAATGAAATAAAGTAAAAATATTTTTCTTTTTCATCAAGCGATAAATTTTGTCGAACTTATATGTTAGATTAAAGTTTGAACTCATAAAAAAATTCAACATTTGTATTAATAAAGATAAATTTTGTCAACTTATATGTTAGATTAAAATTTAAACCCATGTCCTACAAAAATTCAACATCTGACTATAATAAAGAGCCACCTGCAAAGTAAAAATGTTTACCCTTAGGATTAATTAACTTTGTCAAAGTGGGTGGACAAAGCAAAATCTTATCCCAATTCGTTTTCGAAAGGTAGGTATAGAGATAGATGGTGGGCGGGTCCCACCCCGGTTTGGATAAGCCTCACCAGTCACGACTCACGAGGAGGGGAAGGAGAAGGAGGAAGACCAATTGCTTTTCACGTTGCCACGTCATTCACCGACATAAACCTAAATTAAAGTGAATAAAATGTCTCTCCCTCCCTAGGGCCGACCACGTACGACGTGTGAGCTTCTAGAGGCTCCACGTGACGAGGCAAGCGGAAACTATGGGCGGTTTCGGGCAGGTACTTATCGGATGGCGCCCCGAGTCGCTGGTGTCTACAGGGAAACGGACTTTCCTTTCGATCCGGTGTACCCTTGTCTTCGTGGGCTCAAATCTTCTCAACCAATAAAAATCCTTTTGAGCTTTTATTTATTGGAAAATAAATCTTAACTGATTTTTTTTTTTAAAATTCTCCAACCGCTTAGACCAATTCCAATGATGGACCAAAAGTCAAATTACTCCCTAAAATTTCCCCCTAAACCCACTCCAACCCAAGGGAAAAATTTGGGCTAAATGCTAAATGCTAAATTAAGACCAGATTCCCCTCGAAATTTAGCCCAGAAATCAGAATTTAAAATTTTCAATATTTATTGGAATTTATTTATTTTTAGATTAAAATGTTCATAAAATTAATTTACGATAGTCTACATATTTATTTTAAAAAAAATTAATTTAACAAAAAAAAAAGCCTAAGTTCATTCTTTAATAATCTCGGGTTAAAATTTTAGGCTATAACGGTTAGAGCAGAAAAACTGTTTCTGGACTAAAAGCTAAATTTTCCGGGCTAAAATATTTGGTTTTTAACCTAACCACTTGAGATGGTCTTAGAGGCTAATTTCTTCAACATATGTATTTTTTAGGCCACTTTATCTATAAAAAAAGGACTATTTAAACTTCTTTTTTTAGTGTTACTCGATTGGATTTAAGGGCTCAAATTTTTTTCGAAGTTTGAAGTTAAAAATTTAAAGTTCGAAATTTCACCAACTAAGGTTAGTAATAATCATACATCAACTAAAAAGATTAACAATACAAATAATAATGTCAGAATAATCAAATTCATACAAAAATTAATCTTCTCATTCACCAATATCACATGTGAAAACAAAATATATATAATTAAATTTGCACAATAAATAATGTGACGATACTAAATAGATTCATATCATGTTATTGTATAGAAATTTAATCAATCAAGACATTATATTATAATTTAGTGGTTAAAATCTAAATTCATCTTTGATTTATTAAATCGAAAATCAGAAAAACCGAAAAAAAGGATTGAGAAAATGTAAAGAATAAGGAAGTGAGATGGAAACATTGGAAGTAGAATAGGATGTGAAGCAGAGGATGACAGCTCATTGAAAAAATATTGAAAGGTACATCTTAATTGGCAAAGGGATTGAGGATAAGGCCTAAAGTCTTTGCTGGCCTTGGCTGTGCACTGCCATCATTTTTTAAACTAATTATAATATAAATTGATAATAATAATTAATTAGGAGCATTATCCTCTCCTAATCAAATAATCAAGCACTAATTAATCAAAGGCATATCCATCCTGTTAATCTCAACTGCCTTAAGTTAAAGCTATATATACAAAATATTAATGCACAGACAACAAAGAATATGATAAGACAAACACCATGCGTCTCCTTCTCCGGCAAATCTAACGCGCTCTCGACGATCAATCTCAAGATCCGCCGTCGCTCATCGATCCCATTTCTCCGTTGAAGTCCCAAATTCCATTTCTCCGTTGAAATCCCAAATCCTTTTTTCCCCTGATTTGTGAGATTTAGATTGCGTTTGTGATTAATGTCGATCGCATTGAATAGCGCCGCCGCCAGGATCGGCGTCGCGCCGTCGTCTGGGTTCGCTCGAGGTGGGTTGATCTTCGATTCGCCGGAAAACCGCCGGAGAGTTACCGCCGGTGAGGTTACGGTTTGTTCTTCGAGTTCGTCGTCGATTGGGAAGAACAGCGACGATGGATCGGAGAGCAACGACGGCGGCGAAAATGACGAGGCTCAGAGCTCGTATAAAGGTCCGTTGGATATGATGAACGAGCTCGAGGAAGTTTTACCCGTGAGGTTAGCGGTTAAACCCTTTTCTCATTTTTTTTTACTGCAATTTTTACTTTTGTATATTGGGGTTTCTCAGAGTGTGATTTGATTGATGAAATTATGAATAAATGCAGGAGAGGGATCTCGAAATACTACAACTACAAATCCAAGTCCTTTACGAGTCTAGCAGAAGCTTCATCTTCTTCCAACATTAAGGAGCTTGCAAAACCAGACAATGCCTACACCCGAAAACGCAGGAACGTCCTTGCTTCCAGTCACATGTGGGACAAGAACCGAACCTCCTTCCCGCTGAGAAGCAACGGCGGCGGAATTTCAAAGAGACTGATTCCGTCCAGTCGAAGCGCATTGGCTTTGGCTGTCAAGTTAAGCAGCTGCTCGGAAAGCAGTACTAGTAGCGCAAGCGAGGATTCCAATTCGAGCTCAAATCCAACGTCGCCGCGGCCGCCTCTCCCACCGGGTTACGCCTGTCCATTAGGAAGCTATGCAGCCTGGAGATCGTATTCATTGGCTGATCTGCAAGAATGTACCACCGCTACTACTGTAAATAGTTCGCGATTCTCGGCGGCCACCACTAAACCGAACGTGTAGAAACCTAACTTGAATCTTGCCGGTGTTCTTGCCTGCATCGGAGGAGTTTGCCATGATGTCGTCAGGAGATATGGTTTTTTTCTTGTCTAATTTTAAATTGAGAGTGCAAGGGTAGAACAATTTGAAGTATCTGATGTTATTTGTACATACGTTTAATGATTAAAAGGACCATATATTACGGCGTTCACGCCTGCACTCTGTTACGCGTTCCGTCTCCACCGATCTTCCTCAAACAATTAACATTATCTTTTCTTAAAAAGAAAAACCCAGCTACCACACGAATTTTACAAAGAATCAACACTTATTAATAATTAATTATCAACGACTGCGTTTTCTTATTTACATAACATGGACGCGAACGCGATGCTGAACTCGTCCCCTCGTCCCCTAGACCTGCAACTGACTGGATGAACCCTAAAACCCCGAAAAGTTAATTAACAAATTCGAGCAATGTAACGAGTCATCCCTCTTAATATTTAGATGACTGCTGCTCATTTGCCGAACTTCATAAAAGACATTTCCCTTTACATCCATCCGACATAAGCTTACACCGCGACCCCTTGAGCTTCGCACACCATTTAGTTCTGGGGCTGGACAAGAAACTGTACACAAGTATAACCAGACAAGAAAGATGGAAGTTCGATTTCAGAAGGATCGATTAGAGGAATCGCCTTATCAATATCTTCTGTGGAGAATGGAATGCTGCAATCAGAAAGTGAAGTAAATAGGGTAAGGTTTGCTATTCTGTTTTTATCATACAAAGAGCGATATCTTGTTGCGCGTGCAATTAAGACCAGATAATTGGAAACAGAAGCAGATTACCTCAGATCGTCATCCAACAAGAATGAATTGGATGTTAGATTCTGGTTGTCCTTGTTCAAATTCTCCCTCATTTGAGCAACCACCTGCAAGCAATGACGTTCAGAAAACAATGGGACTCTAATCAGAGTTTATGGCACAACAACAAAACTAAATACGCAAACATGCCTCGCTGGACACACTCTGAGTGCCGTATTTGTCGTCCCAGTACATAGTACTTATTCGGTAGATTTGTCTGACAGTCAACGCCTGAACATTGATCACAATGTCAATGAATTAATTTCGGAGTTCAAATATACTTTTTGTGAAGCCAGTGATAGGAAAAAGAGAAAATTGAGACAAATAAACATGCAAGAGGATCATACCGGACAAAGATCCTGCCTAATTTCATCCAGAGACTTTTTCCTCTTCTGATGTATTACCTATACCAATCGCACACAGAAACGGTTCATAACTTTTCATAAATTATACATTTTAAAAAATCAAAGAAATAGTTTTAGCTTATACCAGAAAACCAACAGCTTGTCTGATATAATTTAGCTCGTGCCAGGAGGTTCCTGCATACTGCATTGTACAAAGAGTCAGACCAACAAACCTATAAAGTTCGTTTAAACAGAAAACACTTGCAGCATCGTAGTTATAAACTTGCCTCCTCCCCGGTGTTGACAATCCATTTCTCCAGTTCAGCAAGACCTGATTTTACATATTCACCATTTGAAAATGTGCAACATTCGCGTCGCAGCAGTAGACTGCTCAGGGAAAGAAAAGGTCGAGTCAATACATAAACCATTGCAAATGTCATTTTATTAGCAATGAAAAACTGGAACAGCAATAAACTCTTGCCTGTTGAAAAGTGACATATTGATGAAAGAGAAGACCTGTGTGATTAGCTTGCGAATAAAAAATGAAGGTACCTAAGCAGAGTAGAGTGTTTAGGTCAGAAATGAATAAGAAAAAGTCGACAAAGGGGATCTATGGAATAAATATTAAGCTTCAATTTAGCAAACAATTACATGATCTCAGATATGAAGCTTTGACATCAACTAACGGAAATTGGTGATTTAGATCGAAAGAAAGCAATGTAGATCTAAAGAAACAAATCAGAAAAATGTCCCACATACATGATTTCCATGTAACCGACTCATAAGGGTATCCAAGAATTTGATTATGTTGTCCCACTGACTTCCTGGTAATTGCTGAGGAGCGTTACCAGGGGATCTAGATGACTTTCGCGCAGCTTTGGGTGCCTAATAAATTGCCATGAATATTCGTAACATGTTAGTCAAAATAGTATGCAGATCAATGAAACACAAATAAAACAAAACCGAATAGCCAAAAGATAGCATTCAGACATGAAAATCAAATATCAGCTAAAAGAAATTGGAAGTGGGAATCTTCAGGGTTTTTTTTTTTTTGTAAATCCTCTCTGTGAGTGAGCTGTGCAACCATCCATCCCTTTTCCCCCTTCCTATAATTGGGAAGGCTAAAGTACCAACTGACGTATGGGTTCTTGCTTAGATTTGCTAATGGCAGGTCAATACTTGTGATTCATTCAAAGCACAACAACAACAACAACAACAACAAAGCCTTTTCCCACTAAGTGGGGTTGTGATTCATTCAAAGCAAAAGAGTTAAATGATTTTCACCATCCCCAATGGTGTATCACAACTAAAAACGAAGGAAAACGCAAATTCATCCATTTCTTTGTTGTCTCGTTGCTTTAAATTAACTAAACTATAGCAAGTAACCACTAAATGAATACACAAACATTCTGGACCAACTACTATTTTTCCAAATGCTAACAATAGTAAAATAAAAGTCATTATATGTCACAGCATGAAATTGCACCCATACGTTGACTTAGAATACTTAAGCAGATCAGACTCAATCAGATTCACCTGAATGCATGAGCCCAAGAGCGGAGCCAATTCCTTCTTCAAACTGTCGCGCATCAAGCCAAAGATCTTTTCTACGCAAGCAGTTAGCTGCTGTTTGAACAATATAGCTGGATATCTTGCTTCAAGATGTGACATACCATCTTCATAGCCAATATATTTGAAAGGAGATGTCAGTCCCTGAAAATGAAAGTGGGGGGAGCGCATTTAATAAACTACAATGAACTATTGAAAGTAAAGAAACGATGTGATAAACTCATTATGAGTGTGGAACTCAGTAAAGTTCAAAGGACATCAACAGAGATTATTTTTTGGTCGAACAATTACGTATACAAAGACTATATATTCAACAAGCCTGTCATTTGATTATATAACTTACTTGTGCAATCCTGATAGCTAAAACAGAAGACCCAGAACGTTGAGTTGCTGGGAAACTATTTGGTCGTAAATTCCTCTGCAAAAGGCATAGAAGCGCTGAGGCATTGGACAGCCAATAAGGCAATTTTATGTTCTCATCCCCAACCTGAACCAATGGCCATACAGATTTTTTTCAAATATTCTAAAACATTATGCAAGTAGTTTATTTCACATTTGATCGAGAATAGCTTTTACATAATATATGTATCTCTCCACATAATTTATTTCAGGTACAGTAACACATCAGTTCAAGCCTTAAGCCGAAACAAAATCATAAGCCAGTAAAACATCAGTTCGAGCCTTAAGCAGAAACAAAATCACAAGCCCAAAGAAAATTGACAGAAGCAAGTAAATTACCTTCAAAACATCATTTATTCCCTCAATTATATGGTCAAAAATAACTGTACGCTCAGACTCAAAGGCATGCCACTGAAGAAGGCATTTGTATATGATACAAGCTGCCAATGGTTTGCTGTCTTTGAACCCTAAATCTTCTTTAACACATCTTGATAGGAATTCATAGTTCTCCTGTACATATCAAGGCGACATGCTTAAACTTATAAGCACAACTACCTAGAATGGAAATGACAGAAACTTTATGGTGCTGTGAAGATAACCGCAGTTACAGTCCATAAGAAGATTCAGTGAATACCAAAATTTAAAGCTAAGGTTCAAATAAACAATAAGGGACAAAACCTGGTGCCTCTCAACCGCTAACTTTGATCGGCGTGATTCTGGCAAGCCATGTGAAAAAGGTGAAGGTGCAAACATTTTTGTAGGTGTGGGTGACTCCTGCATTAGATGGTATGACACATGAAGAAGTGTTACTGTGACGGTTAGATGAAAAATAAATAATAGTGAGAGAGACATCACGTCTTACGAATATAGGATTCTGGTCAGTGATGGGAACAAGCGCACCGGAGTTTTTCTGTTTACATTAAAAAAAAAAAAACCATAAATCTATGTTATAAGATTTTATGAAGCAACAAAATTTGACACCAGTAAAATCAGAATGCATACAAAGAGGTTTTCAACCGACTTTTTAGATCAAACCCTTTAATTGTATGTCGCTTGTACATAATCATTTACCTCTGGAACCGACTTTTCAACATCACGCCGAGTGCTCTTTGCAGGCACACTAAGGGCCTTTAGTCGCATGATAAGATTTTCCTCCTCTAATACTGAGAGTTTCTCCTCAAGGCTGTAATTTAGATACAATATAACAAGTATCAATGAATTGTAGCATAATCGATCTGAAGAAAACATATTTGGAGTGATAAACAAATCTAAAACTGATGTCTAAAACTACTTAACAACGCTGAAATAAACACTCAAAAGATAATTATGAATTTCGGAAAAACACCTCTTTACATTCTGCTGGAGCTGGTTGCACTTCTGTTCAAATTCCTGCAACTTCTGAATGGTGTCTGTATTGTCGCTTTGAGCCTTGAGAAGTTCAGTTTCTAGAGCTGAATTCTTCTTATCCAAGGCATCCAAAGAGCTCTGGAAACAACAAATAAAAAAAAATTCAAAGGACACTGCAAATGTCTTAACCATCCCCAAATTTTGGGAGGGATAGTGTAGAGGAAAAGAAAAAACACTCTCAAAAAGAAAGACATGCTAAGACAAAGAGAGAATAGACTTTGTAACTTTGTATTTATCAAATTTTCGAGAATTCAACTAATTATATACCGTGTCTAGATTTCCTGCCTGAGAGATATATAATTTCTGAATAGATAAGATGTAGCTTACAAAATCCCACAAAGTAAAACCGACCTAAGAACATAAATTTAATAAACATCAAAAGACTCACTTTTAAAAATGCACTTTCCCTTCTCAATTCAGCCATTCCAATGATTTCTCTTTCCAAAGATGATTTTTCTTTCACTGATAACTCCAATTGATTTTGAAGCACCGCATTCTTGTTGTACTCATTAATTGTAGCCAACTTTGATGCATCTAACTCAAGACTCAAGGATTCCAACACTTTTTGAATTTTTGAAATTTCTATTGACTTAGCTTCCTCGTTCGATATCTGCATTCAGTTCAGCTTGCAGTAAGAAA